TAATATAAAGTTAGGATTATTATAATATAATATTCATTGAATATTCAGTGAATATTCAAATATTTATTTAAAATTTTTAATGAATATTCAAATATTCAAATACAAATTTTTTGACCAAATCAGACCTCTATAACCAATTATAGATTTGTGTTTTTAAAATTTTCAAAATTTTCTTGTAGTGTGTAATATATACAAATCACTGGTTATAGTAATTCAAAAGATATAGTAATAAAATTATCATTAATTATTTATTATTATATATATATATTTTAATATAGACTTAGATAGATGGACAGGTCCAAATAAAAAATCATATTGAAACTTTGTAATTCATACTTCTACTGGATGAGAATATCTTTGAAAAATACTTGATTTATCTAATCAAAATTACACTGGAGAAAACTTATAAAATTGTATTCAAAAAATTTTTAATAAACTTGGAGTAAATAAATTTGGAGTGATAATAACTGATAGAGGTTCTAACTATACACTTGCATAACAATTAATCACTAATCAGTATTCACATATTTTGAACTTGCAATATATTGTACATTGTATAAATCTAATTTTAAATAATATTTTAAAATGCACTTTGCAAAAAAAATTCATCATCAATGTTTTGCAATTATAAACTTTTTTAATTTGTCACATCAATTATATTCATTGATTATAAACAAGAATATATATAGAGAAAGATTAAAAACTTATATGAAAAATCATTGGACTAGTGCATATGAATGTATATATTCAGTATTTTGTCATAAAACATCTTTAGAAGAAGTATGTATATTTATATTTAAATATATAATTTAATTATTGTTATATATAATTTAATAATTCTAATTAATACAAAGATTTTAAATTAAAATTTATATTTATTTAATAACAAGTTTAGAAAAATTATTAAAACATTTTTAAAGTTTTGTAGATTTTTTGATAATGTTTTGGATCTTTCTAAAGTCTTAAAGCCAATTAAAGATATCTTGAAAGTAAAACAGCTAATTTAGCTAACTATTATTTAGGTTAGGGTAGTAACAGATATTACGTAATATTCTGAGGAGGGGAGGGGGCCTTTGATATCTTATATTGATATATAAATTTATAATAGCTAATCAAATTACGTGGAGGAAGGGGGTAGAGGGTATAGTAAAAAAATATTACGTAATATCTGTTACTACCTTTATCTTAAATTAGCTATCATCATTAAAAATATTTTTCAAGATCACTATTTAATGTTTTATTGAAAACGTATTTTGATTTTTAATGAAAGATTTAGTATATTTGATTATAATAAATATTTATTGGCATACTATTTATATCCTCAATATTGAGGTTTGTATTTAATTTAATATTTATTTATAAGAAATTTTTAAAAACTTACATTTTAAAAATTGTAGATGCTGGAATTAAGCAATCACAATTTGCTCATATCTGGAATTGCAGGCCGTTTATGGATTCGAATAAAATCTAATGCTAAAAAGGATGTCTTGAAGTATTGAAAGCACAATTATGCCAATATGTTTGTAATAAAGAATCTTATAATAGATCTTATATATCAACTCTTAATAGTACAGTTTAATAATGAAAAACTACTGAAGATAGTAATGAAACAAACCCAGGTGTTCTTTCTTCCTTAGCAATTAAATTATTTTTAGTATGTCCTCATATTGCAAATTGTAAGCATATGTGATCATGTTGTGAATGGTTTTTAGAAGACTAATGTAATAATTTAGGAATAAAGAATCTTGAGTCAATAGTAAAAATAAGTTCTTATTTAATGTTAAACACTAAACAAGAAATACATTATTACAAGTTGAGTTTATCAGAAGAAGAATTATAAACTATTTTTCAAGATATTAATTTATTTTTTGAAATTAGTGAAGAGAATATTGATAATTTAGATAATTTAAGAGAATTTGCAAATTTTTCTGATTCTAAAACCGAACACCAAAACTTAGAACTCAAAAATTTTATAGAATTAAATAAGGTAGAATCAAATGCTGATGATGAGAATGAAGATAAGAATAATAAAGAACTTGATGAAGAATTCAATGCTGAAGAATTTGATGAATACAAATTTGGTGCAGAGGTTGAAGTATTAGTGCATATATATAATAGTTTTTTAGTTATTAATAGCAAATATAGTCAAACTTCTCTAAATGCTACCTCATCTAAATGCACATTCTATACATCTATAGATTTTTATCTTCCTAACTGCAAGTTTGATTAAATTTTTATATAGGAGTTATCTTTTAGTTATGGGCTAGTACTATATACTATATCAAAATTAACTTTCATTTTTATATAATTAAATACAAACACAAATGCAAAGAGCATAACAAAAAAGAGAGAAATATTATAACGTCGAGTTCTGGTCTATCTAACCAATAAAACAAAATAAAACAAAAACAAAAAGAAAGAAAAACAAAAGAAAAAAAACAAAGATAACACTATTAAACCTATACAGGATTATAAAAATTATATAGTACTACAAATAAACTAATTTGAACTCTACACTAGTTATTTATATTTATATTTAGAATATAAAAATATAAAAAATCATCTGGTTTTGAAGTAAAGATTCAAGTTTGAAATGTTTATTGCAGTTCTGGCAAATTTTTTGCAATGTTTTAATCTGTGACTTTCTGGGCAAAGTTAACAAGCTGTTGTTTGTCAAACTATATTGGCAAATCAGATGCTCTTGATATAATCACCACAATCTCTTAAGTAAAAAGTATTTGATACTATTAACCCAAAGTATATATATACATATATATTGTTACAAGTGGACTGTAGCCTTTTTAATACAGCACAAGTAACAAAGCACACAGCTATAGAGCTCTGTTGCGA